GTCCCGCATCGGGCTCCCTGCTCGGCGGGGAGTCTGCTTCTCCCTCTGACCCTCCCCCCTCTCATGCTCTCTCTCTCTCATTCTCTCTCTCAAATAAATAAAATCTTTAAAAAAAAAGAAGGAAGGGCAGAGATGTTGGCCTCGAGCCGAGGTGGTTGAAACCAGCAGTATCTCAGCATCACCTGGGAGCGTGTTAGAAATCCAGATTCTCAGATTCTCAGGCCTGTACTCAGACGTACTCAGTCGGGCCTTGGAAGTGAGGCCCAGCACTGTTGTAACCACTTCTCTTGGTGATTCTGATGTACGTTCAAGTTTGAGAACCACCGGCCTAGAAGAAATAACCTTAAAACTCAGCTGTAAAGCTGTTCCAATCAACATGGTAGCTACTGGTCACATGAGCCTTTGAAATGCGGCTGGTCCAAGTTGAGCTGTGCTTTAAGTCTAAAATATCCGTAAGGTTTCAAAGACTTACTATGAAAAAAAGAATGTGAAATACCCCATGAAGAATTTTATATAGATCATAGGTCAGAATAACATTTTGAACCTCTAAGGTTAAATAAAATATATTATGAAAATTAATTTTATTTATTTCTTTTCCCTTTTTAATATGGCTTTTAGAAAAATCTAAAATTACAGGTGCGCCTGGGTGGCTCAGTCGTTAAGCATCTGCCTTCGGCTCAGGTCATGATCTCAGGGTCCTGGGGTGGAGCCCCGCATCAGGCTCCCTGTTCAGCAGAGAGCCTATTCTCCTTCTCCCTCTGCTGCTCCCCCTGCTTATGCTCTCTCTGTTTCTGTCTCTCTGTCAAATAAATAAATAAAATCTTTTAAAAAAAAATCTAAAATTACATATGTGGCTTACAGTATATTTTGATTGGACACAGCTATTTTTTTTTAAAGATTTTATTTATTCATAAGAGACAGAGAGAGAGGCAGAGGGAGAAGCAGGCTCCCCGCTGAGCAGGGAGCCCGATGCAGGACTCGATCCCAAGACCCTGGGGTCATGACCTGAGCCGAAGGCAGACACTTAACCATCTGAGCCACCCAGGCGCCCTGGACACAGCTGTTCTAAAGGATGACTAGAGGTTACCTAAAGCTGGGTGGGACCGAGGTGGCTGTGGAGGGGAGGGGAAGGTGGGCGAGGGTTCTGGGTACAGTGTGTGCAGAGGTCCTGAAGCAAGAAAGAACACGGCATGCTCAAGGAAATAGAAGAAAACCAAAGCCTCGCAGTTCACATTAAGAATTTTGAACTTTATCCTAAGACCAACAGGAAGTGATTGAGGATTTTAAATTAGAGTGCTCACTTTTCAGGACTTTTGCAGCTAACCAGTGAGGGCATGAGAGCTACATCTGAATATAGCAAGACTCTCAGAATCCAAGCTTCTTCCCTCCCCCAAAAGATGGTGGGGGTTGGAGGCATTTGGTCAGGACCGAGAGGGAGCAGGACCCTGCCCATCACCGGCCTGTGCCCTAGGATCCGAGGCACAAACACCCCTGACAAAAGGGAGAAGCAGACACCTGGGAGAGGTAGTTTTGCTTTCAGCTCGGAGCTGGCAGAAGCATTCCCGGAAGAGTCCAAAGTTGAGTGGAAGTTTGATTACAGAGCTGGGGCTCTGCAGGGAGCTGGCCAAGGGTTTGGCGAAGGAGGGTCAGGGACAAGGAGGCCAGCAGGTGTGGAGGTTAGAGAGTGTTGAACAAAGCAGGGGAAGCCAGGATTGGAGCCTGGAGGCTGGGGGTCTGACCATCTCCCAGGGTAAGGTGGCCTTTTCTTTCGTCTGTGGCCTGGAGGAGATTCTTTGTAAGTCATGGACTCAATCTAGCCTCCAGACATATTTCATTGAGCTTACATTTTTCAAATGTATTTAAATTAGTTAGCAGTATTAGTATTAGATGTCGCATAAAAAAATGTGCATTTCTGGTGTTTTTGAAAATTGGAAGATCCAGGAACCCCAGTTCTAAGCCTCATAGAGAAATGGGGAAGCTAAGTAGTCACTACTCCTTTTAGTTTTATATGAACTTTTAGGAGCTGAAATGACAATTTTTATGTTTTTTAAAGAAGACTTTTTTTTACCCCGAAGGCAAAATTGAGTTCATGGGTCTCTGTGGTCTCACTCGAAGTCTTACATTCTCTCCAATGTTTGCTTTGAGGAGTCCCATCTTCTGTTTGTTCTCCAGAAAGGTTCTAAGAATGGGAGCCTTAGTTCAGTGAGACCAGGTTATACAAAAGCTCTGTCCACTGACACAGGAATCGCGTCCATCAGAGAAGCACGCGTGGTCCCCAAAAGTTCTCCACGGTTCCCATCACCCCTGTGGCCCAGCATCGCTGCTCTTCACCTCAGTCTGGCCCCTGGGACATGTGAGTTTGCAGCCCCTACCTGAAACTTTAAATGAGACTGACTGCACTACTGTGTGTTTGTTGGCAAAAACTTGGTATACCAGCTCCCATGGTGATTAAAATCTTAAAGATTGCAGACTCTAAACCTCAACAGCTCCTCTGTAAATATTCAGCAGTTAATTAAGTAGGAAGTCAGTTGATAGCAAGGAGGAGAGAAGGAAGTAACTTTGTTTACGCAAGACAGATGCACTAGTCTAGTACCTTATCCTGTATTCACCACTGTATGCTGGAGTGAGGGAAGGGTGTGTATTTGTGTAGTCTTCTGGCTGTGGTACTGTTTCTCTGCTCCAGTGTATGTAATTGGACGGCGGCGGGGGGGCTGGAAACAGAGAAATTGTTCTATTTCTTAAACAAAGTAAGCAAACAGCAGATTCAAATACTGCCAAGTTTGGCAGTAAGTGCCTGGGTGTTCATGATGTTATTCCTCTCTGTATATATTTTGTTCTCTTGATATAATTCAAAATCAAAGACAAGGGAGAAGTGCTTCTGCCTACAGAATTTGTTTATCATACCCTTTTCCATTTGAAGGGAAAATAGCTTCATTAGCATAAGGAAGCTTCTTGCTTGACAAGACAAAGTAAGGGTTGAGGTGGCTTCTCTTTTCTCCATCCCCCTTCACCAGCAGCAAAAAACAAAACAATAAATGTTACAAGGGGGTGGATCTAGTTTTTGATTGGTCAGAAGCTTCTACTACTTGGTGAATTGGGGCTCTTTAAAAAAACAATACAAAAATGTCTTTCTTTTGCAAATTAAACACACACATACATGCACGCATGCATGCATGTATGCACCCGTGAGCGCGCACACACACGCACACACACACACACATGCTTGTGCATTCGTTATTTGGTTTCTCCCAGTGCCTTAGAAGGAGTTTGTTCAAGGGAAGGAGCCTGAAGCTTGAGCTTCATTAGCTTCATAATTATTCTGCTTCTGGGCACCAGTAATCATTCAGCAAAACGCTGCGCAGATGTCTTTCATCCTGTTCTCTGTTCTTCCGCCACCCCAAAGGAGTGCTGAGGGAGGGCAGAGGCATCGCTCTCCCTACAGAAATTCTCAGCTCTGTGAGCTGCCTTCGCCTGAGCCCATCTCTTCCAGATGCTTTCCGTTTCCTGTGCAGTGAAGCTTCAGAACTGATGCTTGACAAGAAAGGGAAGTCCTAAACCTAATCACCCTCATCTTTCACCTACTTCCAGACTACCTCAGTCTGCTTCCTCCCTCAGGTCCTCCTCTGTTTGCCTTCACCTGAAATAAGATGAAGCCTTATTTTAAAGGCTTTTTGTCCCCCCTTCAGAATCTCTAGGAATTACTAAAAAAAGGAAGAAACTCGATACCCAGATTCCAGTTAACTTTGTCACTGATTGTTATGTAACTGTGGATGAATCACAGGTTAAGTGGGACAGAAAATCTCCAGTGAACGGGGCTTGCCAAGAATGGCAGAGGACCAGGCCCCGATGTTCCTATCATCTTTACTCCCCAGTGTGGAAAACCCTGGGGTGGAAATGGAGAGCGCTAGGCAAGCAAAGTGAGTGGCATTTGTCAGTGTAAGTACGTCCACTGCAGGGAGAGTGGGGGCAGCCTAAGGCAGCCAGAATTTAGCTAGAACCTAAGGCAGCAGACTCTCCAGGGGACAGAATGGGCCCAGCAGACCTTTGGGCCAGCAGCTTAACTTGGGGAATTCAGAAACACCTGAAGGTTGTCTGTCCCACTCTACCAGATTCTTCTCCTGCTGAGATGTGGCTGGTTTGTGTAGGACAGTTTAAAGGTCGGGGAGGAGGAGACAGGGCCTTCTTATCAGCGTGCTTCCTCTCACTCCTCCAGACCTGCTCCTGCTAATCTGTTTCCACAGGCAGCATCTCTTAGCTGCTTGCAATTGATAGCTTGTTTGGCATACGGATTTATGCCTGCCAAAAGCTCTACCTTGAGGCAGGTGAGATTATTTCGGTGAGTACCGCGTTCAGTGTTAATGTTGCTTTAAATCACTTTTAGTGTTGTTTGAATGTTGCACCTTAGATTTTCTTATAGATCATGGAGCCTATTGCACTGGAGAGCGAGCTGCCCCCACTTAGTGATTTACATACCGGATAAATGTGCTGGGTCACTGAATGAACATGTTTAACTTCTATAATAAAATGAGACTGGTAAATATTTCTCTTTTCACCAGAGGAAAAACAAAGTGAGGAGGATGCCTTCAACCCGGAGTCAGCTGGTAGGAGCTGGGAGTTCCCAGCTACTAGTCATCCTTTTAGACATCTATAACTCATTCCACTAAATCCTCTCTTTTGTAAGCACGGACTGTCTTTTTATCTGGCGGAAATGCAGCGTGCCATTAGAATGACGTGGTCTGTTAGTGTACCTCATACAATTAACATACTGTCCAGCCGTCAGAAAATTTAAGTCGACGAGGTTCCCTGTAATGAATTATTTGTAGAATATGCCATTATGTGCCATGATGCATAAGGTGTCTGGTGTCTTGATGTCAAATCTGGTCAAAGGAATGCCTCCAATTTAGTTTCAGACACCGACTATTGTAAAGTTGTGCTTCCATTCCCAGGAGTCAGTTGAATGAAGAATATAACAATACACTTTTTGTTCCTTCTCTTTCTAGATGTATTGCTGTCATTGAATATTGGCCCATTTGAAAGTGCTAGGGAAGCTCAATCATCAGGATGTCCAAGTACAAACTGATTATGTTAAGACATGGAGAGGGCGCTTGGAATAAAGAGAATCGTTTTTGTAGCTGGGTGGATCAGAAACTTAACAGTGAAGGATTGGAGGAAGCTCGGAACTGTGGAAAGCAACTCAAAGCACTAAACTTGGAGTTTGATCTCGTATTCACATCCATCCTGAATCGGTCCATCCACACAGCCTGGCTGATCCTGGAAGAGCTGGGCCAGGAGTGGGTTCCGGTGGAAAGCTCCTGGCGTCTAAATGAGCGTCACTATGGAGCTTTGATCGGTCTCAACAGGGAGCAGATGGCTTTGAATCACGGTGAAGAACAAGTGAGGCTCTGGAGAAGAAGCTACAATGTGACCCCACCACCCATTGAGGAATCTCACCCTTTCTACCATGAAATCTACAATGACCGGAGGTATAAAGTGTGCGACGTACCTGTGGATCAGCTGCCCCGATCTGAAAGCTTAAAGGATGTTCTGGAGAGACTCCTTCCCTTTTGGAACGAAAGGATTGCTCCTGAAGTATTAAGTGGCAAAACCGTTCTGATATCCGCTCATGGAAATAGCAGTAGGGCTCTCCTGAAGCATCTGGAAGGTACCATCTTTATGCTACTACTTCCTAGAGGTTGTGAGTGTTATACTTGGGCCTTAATCTAGAAAGGACATGGTTTCTGAGCTAATAATGCCCAACTGGCATGATAGATTTTCTTTCCCGTTCCTTTTTGCCACTTTAGTCTTCTAAGAATCATTTTGTTCTATAAATGAAAAACCCTGTGCCTTTTACATTCATATTATAGACAGAAGTGATTCTAAAACTTTAGCAAGCATCAGAATTACCTGGAGGGAGAGTTTGATCTACTACAGATTGCTGGCCCCACCTTTGGAGTTTCTGAATTCGTAGGCCCCGGGTGTGGCTGGAGAATTTGCATTTCTAAGACGTTTTATGGTAATGCCCATACTGCTGCTTGGGGTTCTCCACTTTGAGAACCTTTGATATAAAAGATTATATGGCTTTTGTTGTAGTAAGGGTAAGGGAGGCTAGGAAGGGTATACATTTCTATAGAAATGGTATGCAAAGCGCACTTACTTATTTGAGTCTTTCCAGATAAATAAAATGATCTAGACTGGTTTTGCCCATGCTCTTCCAACTTTAAACAGTTATTCCGGTGTTTCAGACCTGGCCTTCCTGAACAATTCCTTCGTTCCGATCCTCTTTCCAGACCAGCCTGAGTCATTGCTTGGGAGAAAGTTAGGGGGACAGAAAAGGAAAGTATGGCTTTTTGGAGATAACCGGTTGCCTCCATTTAACTCAAGCATTTAACTGCTTGATGTTGTATTCTAAATGTATTCTGAAATGTACACTATTGTTATCTTCCTCTTAAGTAACGTGAACTAAATGAACTCTTGAGGACTCGAGCTCACCAGTTTGGAGCGTCAGTGATGGCCCTGTGGCACCTTCAGGGGGGTCTCTCCTTCCCCTTTCTCCCTTCACTAAGTAATCCTAAGGAGTTGTGCGTTTTGAGTGATCTGCTCCATCCACTGTTTCCCTGTCTGTTAGCACTCTTAGCAGTTAGCCCATGATACTAGAATGCATTTCTCCAACATTCCCTTCCCATTCTGCTTTACTTTTCTCTAAGAGCCTGTGAGAAATGAAAAGGTTGACATTGCATGTGAAATAAGTGAAAATAGGTTATTGGTAACAAAACAAAGTGATCTTTATGAGATTTTATTGTAAACTTTTTAGCATGTATTTTTACCCCTGATTTTTATATAACATGGCCGGGAGCCAAATCATTACTCCTATACCTGCATCCATTAGTTGTGCAGAGATCTAAACTCTACAGATTTTATTGGCTATTAAAAATGTTACTGGCTAGACATGGCGCTCAATCTGTTGGTGTATGTTTGTGTATATATCTTATTTACTCAACTATATAAAGGGTTCTATTCTTCCTCTTTCAGAATAGTCAGATACTGGATTAAATGATAAATAACATCATCGTTATTGGACTGTAGTACTTTATTGTTTGAAGAAGAGTTGAGCCTTCTCTTAGGACAACGACAAACTGAAATGGAGAATTTCGAAGTTTCTGCCAAAAGATGTATTCTGTCCCACGACGCCAGTTCCTTTTTTCCAGAGACAGGGCTTAGACCTCCTTGTGGCCAAGCTCCCTTCCCTAAAGAAAATGCCATCACCTCCTTCAGGATCCTCTTTTCTTCCCTGTCTTAGCTAGGAAATCCTCCCTTTAAAAACGATTTCTTGCTGTTGAATACCATTTATTCTTCAACTGTCTTCAGGTTTAGATGTCTTTAAGATTATTCTGCATCCCCAACCACAGCTCATCTTAGATACCCTCTTCTTTTAGTGCGTCAGTGACTTCCCGATTTCTTACTGTTCTTTTTTTGAAGGGAATAGGAAGGTTTACAGATGGTGGTGAGGACGACTACCACCGTGGTGGGAGTGGAGGCAGACCTGCCTGTGGAGGGCAAGGTTACCCACAGAAAGCTTACTTTCTGCATTTGAAGCAGGTTTTGAAAGCACTAATAATTTATTTAAAAAACAGTCATTTGGGATAGCTGCTGTGGAAAACAATCTGGCAGCTTCTCGATAGATTAAACACGCAGTTCCCATATGAGCCACCAATTGTACCCCTAGGTATTTACCTGTATTCATTTCCTAGTGCTACTGTGACAAAGTACCAATCACTGCATGGCTTAAAACAACAGATACTAGTTTTCTCACAGTTCTGGGGCCTGGAAGTCCTAAATTAAAGTGTTCGCAGGGTCATATTCTCTCTGAAGTCTCAAGGCGAGAATCCTTTCTTGCCTCTCCTAGCTTCTTGTGTTCGTTGGAAATCTTGGGCATTCCCTGACTTGTAGATGCATCATTGCGGCCCTCAGTCTTCACTTGGTGTTTTCCCCATGTGTCTCTCTCTTCCTTGTCCAAATGTTCCCTTTTTGTAAGAACACAAATAATAGTAGAGTAGGGCCAAAGACCTCCTCTTAACTTGATTACCTTGATAAAGACCCTATTTCCAAATAAGGTCACATTCTCAGGTTAGGACTTAAGTGTATCTTTTTGGAGGGATACAGTTCAACCCATAACAGTACTTAAGAGAAATGAAAACATATGTCCACAGGAAAACTTGTATACAAACCTTCATAGCAGTATTAGTCATAAGAGCCAAAACATGGGAGCATCCCAAATGCCCATCACGTAGTGACTAGATAAATTAAATTTGGTATATCCATACAAATAGAATATTATTTGGCAATGAAAACAGATGGAATAGTCTTCTGTGCTATAACACGGATGAACTTTGAAATCGTTGTTACCTGAAAGAAACCAGTCACAAAGGAGCATATATTGTACAATTCTACTTAAATGAAATGTCAGCATGGCCAAATCTTTAGAGACAGAGAAGATTGTTTCCTAGGCCTGGGGTGGAGGTGGTGGGGGTGTGGATTGAAGAGTGACTGCAGTTAGGTATCGGCTTTCTTGTTGGGGTGGTGAAAATGTGCTAAAATTGATTGTGATGATGGTCACACAAGTCTGAGTGTACTAAAAGCCATTGACCTGGACACTTTATGTGGGGAAATGGTATGGTATGGGAATTATCTAATTAAAGCTGCAAAAATAGCTTAATCGATGGGATTGAAAGATGAAAGGATTTGACATTGGCCTAGAAAAAAATATTTCAGGGCAAATACATAGAAATGCTATCAAAGTAGACATGCATGGATGTGGAGTACAGAATAAGGAAAAAATAAAATAAAATACAACTTTGACCTCTAGGGCAGAAGTGGATTTATAGGGATTGCTGAGAAATTAGCAGACATTAGTTCTCAGGCTTTATTTAAACTTTCTTCTGAAGGTCTTTTTTTAAATGTTGGATGTATAGAACTAAATTACCTTTCAGAGCTTACTGAAGTTGAAGCAATCTTGAATTATAATTCCTATCCCTATCACTATAAATAGGCCTTAGACACAATGTGTTTATTTGTGAGATAGTTTAAAACAGCGGTATTCATGCTGGAAGAGGTAAATAGTACAAGGAGACTCGAGTCAGAAGTTATGTGAAAGTGGAAGAGGTGTGGAGTTGGCCCATGTCTGCAGCAGAGGACGAGGGAGGTGTAGATGAGGGAGACAGGGACTGGAGACGGGAGGGTAGGTGACCAGGGAGGATGGCAGACATTCAGGGGGAAAAAATGGCTGAAAATCCAGAATATGCCATTGGCACAAGCCCACAGGTGGGGAAAACAAATGGAGTGGGTGGGAAGATTGGGATCTGTCCATAGAAGACACAAGGCTGGTATGTAATCTTGGCTCACCCATCCTGGGTAGGGGAACAACTTTGTTCCTTTTTGGCCTGTAGTACCCCCTGGTGGTGCTGCTGTTAAGATTCACAGAGCTCTTTGATGTCGCTGTGATTTCCTGTAATGACTTCCATGCCTAACATGGAAGAAATTATTTCATGTGCATGAAATGGACTAAACTAGATTTTAGGATCACTTGATAAATTAGTTATCATGTCTTATTTTAGGAGTTCTCTAAGTACCAATCTCCACTAAGAAATTTCTCTTACAGTGTATACTGAAAAATAAGATGCAAGTATTCTATGTCACAGCTCTAAGAATTAAGTATAAGTGACTTTCCCAAGATCAGAAGAAATCGTGTGCTATTTCTTCCATGTCATTTCTGTTAATGAGATTTTAGGTTTTTTAAAATTTATTCTGGATGTATATGGTCACCGGAATAGGAATCCCAACATGAGTCCTCTTACCTCACATGTCTGACCTTCAGGAGCTCAAGTTATAGGGCTTTATGTGGTACTTGATAAATTCCCAACCTAAAAGAAAACATTCCTTTGAATTTGGATGCTAACTTTTTAAGACTCAAATATTAGGTCAATCTCCCTTACTTTAGGGGGAAAAATAGAGATTTTTATCTGATAGTAAGGACTACTTGCAATTTATTTGTGATTATATGTGTTTGGTGTGTTAAAAACATATCATAAAATTTACCATCTTAATTGCCAATTTATTCTTACTGTAAAGTTACATGACTATACATACCACCATTAGCCATTTTCTGGTTAATACCTATTGTCCCAGTGCAATTATTTATTTATTTATTTATTTTTTAAAGATTTTATTTATTTATTTGAGACAGAGAGAATGAGAGAGAGAGAGCACATGAGAGGGGGGAGGGTCAGAGGCAGAAGCAGGCTCCCTGCCGAGCAGGGAGCCCGATGCGGGACTCCATCCAGGGACTCCAGGATCATGACCTGAGCCGAAGGCAGTCGCTTAACCAACTGAGCCACCCAGGCGCCCCGTCCCAGTGCAATTATTAATAGCCTCTCCTTTCACTTTCAAAAGTGCCCCACTTGAATGATAAATCATGTGGTCATCTTACTATAAAGATGTTAGCCTTCACTAGTATTAAGAATGAATCCTTGGGGTGCCTGGGTGGCTCAGTTGTTAAGCATCTGCCTTCGGCTCAGGTCATGATCCCAGGGTCCTGGGATCGAGCCTCATGTAGGGCTCCCTGCTCAGCAGGGAGTCTGCTTCTCCCTCTCCCTCTGTCTCCTCCCC